CCGCAGACACCTGTCTTTCAAACCAAGACGCCGTGCCACCCCCACCATGACCCACCCCCTCGCCGAGTGCTACGTGCTGCTGTGGGGTGCATGCAGAAAGCCCGGGGTCACCCTACGTGCACCCCTCACCCGTCACTGCCGTGTTTCTCAGCGCGGCAGCTGACACCGCAGAAGCAACAGCCGCTTTGCTGAAGCCCCTCCAGCGCTCCTGCCCCGCTGAAGGCAGGCGCCGTGTGATACTCACACAAAGATTCAGATTTTGTGGTTTGTCCTCAGTGCCCTCAGCTGCACCCCAGCACCCCGGCTCTCCATGCCCCCTCCCTCCCTCCCCACCTCCCGGTGGTGGGCGTTGGGTGGGGGTCACCCACCTGGAGAGCAGGGAGCAGCCTGCAGCAGTTCTCCCAGATGGTTTGGTGATCCTGCGCGCTGTTTTCTTCGCTCCAGTTGCCGTGCTGATAGATTCCTCCCAGGACTGTGCTCTCGCTCCTGCACCAAAAGCCAAAGGAGATAAGTGGCGGTGAGTGACCCCAGCCCGTCCCTTGCTGGACCACCACGCGGAGGGACTCTGCGTGTGTGTGACACTCGGATCCTGCTACGCCCCGAGCCTGCGATGTATTCCTGCCGGAGAAACTCTCACGCCAAGCAGGCAGGAGAGCAGTGCCTGCACGTCTGCTCCTGAGCAAGGCACTCACGACGCGCTCTAAAGGCCTTGCCTGGGCAAAGCAAACAGCTGATTTCTTCTGTCAAACAGGTCTGCCCCTGCCTGGCTGGCGAAGAGAGCTGGAAGGAACGGGATGCCTCTGGTGGGGAACACCAAAGAGATTGCTGCTGCTGCCACCCCAAAACTCCTGTGGATTAACAGAGACAGCTCAAGGCTGGGGGGAGCTGGGGGTGTTTGTACCCGCCGGACCCTCCTAAAACCTTGCTTGAGCCCTGGGAAGCACAAAGACAAAAGGGCTGAAGGCCAGGGGTGTGCGGGAGGGGAGCCCCCGGGGCCGAGCTCGCCAGCGTGGAAGAGGTGTCCTCTGCGCGTGAGTGCTGGACCCGGTGCTTCCTTTGGGATCCAGCCTGGTGCCCAGCTATGACAGCTCAAGCGAAGATAAACGCAGGGCGAGGGATTCAGATGTAGCTGGGACTGTGATCAGAAATCGCTTGGAATACTTCGCTGGGGACTGTGAGCATTCCAAGTTCCTACTTACATGATGGCTTCTTGCCTAATCCTGAAATGTTAGTACTGTAGGAAGCGCCAGAAATGCAGCATTCAAGTTACAGCTTAAAGAACTCCTCTCCCTTGCCAAAGCGGGGTAGATGGCTGCTCTCAGGAGGAAACAGCAGCAGGGTGAACACCAGACCTGTGTTTATTTATCCTGCAGTTTAGCTCCCCGGGTACAGGCGTACGCTGCCGTCTCAAGCAGATCCCAGCTCCCCTAAGAAAGCTGCTGGGGGGAAGCAGGTGGGAAGTGCAAGACGAGTGCTGGAAGCTGGGCTCTGCCCCAGCACAGCCACTGCTGCTCGCTGAGCTCTGGAGATGGTGCTTTCGGGGCCAGGATCTCATTTCAGCCCTCCTCATCCCTACAGGGACACAGAAATAAGGTTTTCTCCTGGGATTCCTCCTCAGTTCTTGCAGGGAGGTGGTGGAGAAGCCAGTGTGGGTGCTAAACCAAACGGGATGCCCCCAGGAGACGTCTCACCGACAGTGGCAGCTCAGGGTAACAGTGAGGGGAAGGCTGAGCTTTTTAGGGTAGGCTTTTATTAAAGTAAATAAATGCCCTGGTTTTAATGGGAGCATGAGTGCCTTTCCCCCGCAATGAGCTTCTGTGCAGCAGTTTTATCAACACCATTGACAAAAAAAAAGATGGGTATAAATGTGAAAACAAAAGATCTCCCCCAAAATATTTGCCCCACTGTCAGCGGCTCTTTTGAGGACCTGGCCAGGATTGGCCTTTTGCTTCGGTGGGCTTTGCTCCTTGGAAAAGGACAGGCCCAGGGCCGTTGAAGCCCCGTGGTGCTGTCTGATCCCAGAGCCCCGGAGCAGCCCGGACCCCCTGTCGTGTCCGAGTGCCGAGCCAGGCTCTGCGCAGGGAGTTCATGCTTTCCGTGCCAACCACGGGAGCTCCCTCGCTTCGCTGCCCGTGTCCTGCTCCTCTCCCATGCCACAGAAAAGAGCATCACCGGGCCAGGGATGAAGCCAGAGCTGGGCTGCTGCAGGGCAGATGCCAGCAGGGAGCTGCCTCCAAGCCGGTGCTTTAGGTGTGCTGACAGCAGCGCATCGCCGGTGCCAGCCAGACCCTGCCTCGCCCGCTGTCACCTACCCCGGTATGACGTACGGCGAGTTGTAGATGCCATATTTGATGTCGTGAGTGATGATGAAATGCTTCACCCATGGGGCCAGGACCTGGGAGACGAAGGGGAGAGGGTCAGGGAGAGCTGGAGAGTGGGGTCCCCGGCTCGGGGAGGCAGCGAGAGGGATGGGGGCAGCTCGGCGAAGGCAGACGCCAGGGTCTGCACATGGTGTCCTCCCTTGTGGCTTGGTGTACACCACGGCGCTGCCGCTGTGGGAAGACAGGGCGATGGGAGGGCAGGTAGGAAGAGGAGGATCTGTGTTTCCCTAAATAATCACCCTCTTCTCCCAAGATTTTTACGTCTGTTTATTATTAGCACTATGGCTCTGGCCTCCCCCCACCTTCACCTGACCAAGAAACAGGCTGGAGGCTGGGGCCATCCCCACAGCTGAACCCAGAACAGGATCCAGGTTTTCTGCTCTGTTCCTCCCCACACACAAGAGTTTTACATGACCACCGTTTGCTGGGAATCAGGACCTGATCCCAGCGTAGGCCCAGCCCACAAGCCCACGATTTGCCCCATAAGGTGGCTAACGAATGGCTCCTCCAGAAAAAAAAAGAGGGGAGCTACAAGCCCTGCACCCACCTCACCTTTATGACCTGTCCACGGCCAGGCTGTAGCTCTGGGTCAGGCTGCAGCTCCCCCGCACGCACCCCGGTGCAGTTTATTACAACATCCACGCCCTGGGCGAACATCTAACGGGAGACAGACATGGCGCGGTGAGCAGCGCTGACAGCAATGCTGCCCACGGGGGGCACGAGATTCCTGCATCAGAGCCAAGCCAAGTACTCGGTCCAACAGCCTGGTAATGAATAAACCATAAGGGCCAGATCCAGGGCACAGCTTCCCCAGCACGAGACCCCACTGCGTGGGCAGGCAAGGAGGGGAACGGTTGCAGTTTCAGGTGAAGCTGGACTGCCAATGTCTGGCTGCGTCTTTGCTCGGTGCCGGCCAAATGCACTACCCCGTCCCCTCTCAGCCTCCTCTTGGTGCCCCAGAGCCTTTAGCTTTCCTGGTAGAATTTGTTCCCTAGATCTCAGGGTAGTCTTGCCGCTGTCCCCTGGCCCATCACTCATGCCAAGGGACATCCCGGAGCAGGATGTGCCCGCTGGAGGCTGCTTCTCCTCACTGGGACGGCGCTGTGCCCGCTCTGCCCCAGCTCAACACCGCCACTCACCTCCTGGAAAGATTTGACCTTCTTATGGAAAAACTTGACTCCTCTCTGCGTTAACCTGGGAAGAACAAGTTGGTTCGTTACCGGCAAATTAAAAGCAAATGTACCGTTCAAAGTAGCTCCCGTAATTGATACCCAGAGTAGGTACGGCTTGTTGCTCTTGCGATAACTAGCCGTGGTCTCCTCGGTGGTTCCTAATGATCTCCAGTGATCAGCTCATTTCCCTAATGGCCCAGAGCTACCGAGGGTGATCAGTCCTGCTAAGCCCCACGTCAGAGCCCAGGTCTTCTGCCGTGGATAGAGCACCCGCTCCCCGCTAGAAACACAACAAAATCAAGTCCCCAAGAGCCGCAAAGTGCTCGGGTGCAGCTCTAAGTATCCCGTTAATTTAATTTTTATCATGAAAAACTCTCGGGCTAACTTAATCTGGGGAGTCTGCTACCCCACTGCAGCAGGGAGCTGGAATTCCAGTCGCTTTTCCCTGCTTCCCAGGGATGCATCCCTGCCTCCCCTCTCCTTCGGCTCATCCCGCCGTGCCCTCCCCCCCAGGGCTGCTGCGGGGCGCAGAGTGGGGGTTACTGAGATGGGGGGACGATGCTGAGGTCCCCTGTGGGTGCTGTCACGTGGAAGCCACCAGCAGCAGCATTTTCAAGCTGAGCAGGTCAGAAGCGCGGCAGGACACGGGGCGGTCGCCTCAAATTGGTGCCGCCTAAACTCAGCCACCGACTTGGCATGAGAGAAGGATCTGGGGCAGCACCTGATGTCCGGGGTGAATACCCACACCCGCTTCCCACGTCCTGCCGGCCAGAGAAATCGGGGGGAGCAGCAGCTCCCCCGCACCGGCACAGCCCCAGCCCCGG